CCTGTGCCATAGTTTTTCTTTCACTGATCTAAGTGCTTACATTGACAGAGTATTAGATTGAATTGTTCTATCTGAAAGAAACCAATCAGGGAGAGTGTGTTTTTCCCGGAAAACCGTTCTAGATAAACAAGGAGCCAGGCTTCTGGCCTCCCTGTAGGCCGTCTATGACATCGATATTTTAGTCTATTACATTATTAAATCTGGGCTAATTAAGTAGTATACAACCTGTTGCACATCAAGACAGAACCCCGGGCTCTCCATTTGGAGTAACTAATGCATCCATGAATGAATATTGGCTAGTAAGTATACTTCTAGTGATTCACATTTACACGTCACTGATTATAAGCATAGAGATGGAGGCTTCAGTTTTAGAATTATAGCTGTGATTTTTTTTAATGGGCTTCAAAAATGCCAGGCAGTGTATTTCCATATTTTATCAATTTACAAGGGTGGTGTGTTCAATGGAAATATTTGTTAAATGCTTTTTTGTTGTTAAACAGGAAGGACATTTCATGAATAAAACCTCACTTTATTTTATATTCCCATTTTCATCCCACAAATGTCTTGAGGGATCGCTGGACCTGATATCAGTACTCAACTTGATGGATGAATAAATTTACCTGGAAGTGAATTCATTAATGGTTACACAATGATTTAGGAGCAGAGCTAGAAAGACACATTCCCAACTAGGATGAAAACAAATGTATGTGCACCGCATGCGTGTGTGTGTGTGTGTGTGTGTGTGTGTGATTAAAAGTGTTTTTCTTTGGAAACACAGATTATAAATTTTTCTTTTCACTTTGTTGGTACTGTCTGGAGAAAGAGTATCTTAAATATTTAGCTGTGTTTAGAATTTGGTAATGTCTGAGTGACATAATGCGATATTCTCTATATTGACTTGATTGCTTAACTTCCAAATCAAATTTCTATTATAAAGTATGTTGTTTTATCAGATTTATTGTACATGACTTTAATGATTAAGTAAATATGTCCTTTAATAATAGCCCAATTTTTACTTAAATCCTCAAAAATTTACAAATTACATTTTATACTCCAAGAATCATATTGAGGAATAGCAGAAGAGGAAGAATTTATTGATGTGTTTAGTAGTGTGTGTAATGAGAATATAGGTATCAAATGACTTAGAAATTCTTGGTCTCTGTGACCAAGAGAATGATGATGCTACTGGAAATACAGTCTTAATAGAGGGGCCAATGAGATGATGATGACTTTGGTTGAAACACATTGACTTTGAGTATCAAAGGATGATCCATTTGTAAATGTCCAGGACTTTGTTGAGAGGAAAATATAATCCTCAGAATGCAGGCAACCGTACCATATTAGATTTACAATCTGCGGAAACTGGACTTCACTAAAAAGCAAGTCTTAATTGATAGGGGTTGAGGACACGTACAGAAAAAGAAGAATAATGGAAACAGAACTTTAGCTTATACAAGAGGAGCTAATGGTGAAGACAGGGAGGAGGAGCCCCTATCAGAACCATGTGAAGAGTAGGAGAGGAGACTAGGAGGGAAGAGCTAAAATGGAACATTCCAAAAACAATCTATGTTATAAATGAGAGAAAATTGTTCTGAATGGGCCCAGAAGAATTTAAACAGAGAATAAGAAATCTTAGTTTATATAATTAGCAAATGAAAGATGACTTTTTATAAAACTATTTTAGTAGGCTCCTTGGTTGCAGAAGCCAGAGTAGAAGAGAGATGTGGGAATGTGTTTCACAGAATGATCACAAGTAAGTGATACCATCCTTTGGGGACTGACATCTTGCTCAAAAGCACATTCACAGGAGCAAACTTCATATTGAATAGGAAAGAGGTGCTAAATACATCTTTGTGAGTTAAAGATGAATGAATGGTTTAACAAATGAATAGAAAAGAAGGAAGGAAAGAAGGAAGAGCAAGAGGACAGATGAAAGGGAAGGAGAAAAAAGGAATGAAAAGAGATAATGGAGAGAGAGAGATTGTTCACAATTTGGGGGGGCATGTCCCTGAAAGAAAGCGAGCCTGGAATGCTTTGTTTTGTTGATGAGAATAAGCCAAAGGAGAATAAAGAAATAGAAAAATCCTAAAAAGAGGGATTGATTCCAAAAACCAGAGAAGGCATACAGTTGATGATACAGGAATTCAGACATGGAAAAAAAGAGATGTGAGGACCTTTCATTGCAAGGCAATGTCCTAGTGAAACAAACTTCAGGGTGCTATGGTGAAAGCCCTGAGTTTTCCAAAACTGAAGTATCCTGAAAATTTCAAATAGCCTTATGATGTGTGTGCCAATTGTCACTACATTATTATCTTCATTCTTAAGAAGGGTAGTCTTGGGCTGGGGATTTAGCTCAGTGGTGCCGTGCCTGCCTTGCAAGTGCCAGGTCCTGATTTTGATCCCTAGTACCAAAAAAAAAAAAAAAAAAGAAGAAGAAGAAGGGTATCCTTAAGTTGCAATCATAATTTAGAAAAACATTGAATTGGTTTTGCTTTGATATGGAAGATGAAACACAGTGGCATATTTTTATCCCTTGATAGCTCCTTTTTTATAACAATTCCATATGTACATGTCTAGGATTTTCAGATATTTCTGAGGTACATTTTTCTATTCACTACCTTGACCTGATTAAGCTTAAAAATATTTCTGAGGCCTGAAGCAAGAAGCATTTTACTGTAAATCTCCAGGAGCCTTCTACACAGTCATTGAGATCTATTGTCCAAGAAATTCAGAGCACCATTCCATTAAATCTTAAGACACTATGATCAAAAGAAGTGTATTTTACAAATGTTTTGGAAGAGTGAATGCCTTATGTTTAAGACAGCCTTGACATTAAAGCTTTTTTAATTCCATCTCTGTGATTTTGTTTGGCAAATCATGCCATCTCTATGCTAAAAGGTCAATGAATGTCTGGCAATGTAATTAGGAGCTTTACAAATTCCAAGAAGAATCATTTTTTTGGCTGTGAAATTCTAAGCCAAAAATAACTTTGGGTCATAACAATCCCTTTCTGCCAAGATTAGGAAGACTCCAGATTCTGCAAAATAGGGTACATATTTTACTAGCTTTGCTCACAAAAACAAAAAGAATAAAGGACGCATTTAATGCTGGCATTGGTAGCAATTCTGTTTCATAGATGATAATTTGAGACAGGAAAGGCACTAGTTATACAGATATGAAACTTCTTAGACGAGAAAATACACTGACATAGTATTGAAAAGCATGGCATTTGTTTCATTTGTGAATTGTTTAGCTGTTTCCTAAATCCTGAGTGGTAGTATATATGTTATCACCACTAGGAAACTGTATTCTTCTCCGATGCCCATTTCCAAAGTATCTTAAGATTTGAGAGCAAACAGCTGACTCTCATAAGCACACAGTTCCAGCATCTCAGAGCATAAGTGTGTGGGCAGCCACAAAGCAGCCTCCTAGCTGTGACATTCAGGATTCCATGGCTGTCAATCAGAATGCTTCACAAAGTTAAAGGAAAATTAGAACCAATGCAGGCATTTGTTAAAGAAGATTTGTTTAGAACTTCTACTGTTATCTTGGACATCTAAATTATCTGCAAAACAATATGACGGGTAGATATGGACAGTCTTCATTTTGAGGTGAAGGAAACACATTAAAATTACTGTGCCTGAGGTTACAAAATTAGTCCGTAGCGGGAGTTTTATGCATAATGTTTTAGAACTGGCTATTGGGATGTGTGAAAAGAGCAGTGAACATGATTTTTTTTTCTGTTTTGATAGTGAATATCATTATTGGCCAATTATGTCTGTCTCATATTTGTTGTAGCTCTTTTTTTTTTCCAATGAGAGTTTAAGAAATTCCAAGCCAAAGGAATGCAAAAAGAGAAAAACTTCTGAAAATATCTACAGTCATTATTCACGGGTCATAGCTCTTCTCACTTTTAATATTATTATCTACTGTCTACTACCTGCCAATAATTCATTGTCTTGGCCTTCAAGGGGCTCCGAGATCAGGAAAGAAGATTAGCTAAAGTTGATAAAGAAAGTTTCTCAGATATGGAGAGGTGCAGGAGAGACATAGAGTTCAACCTTGAGAAGGGCAGATGTACAGCTTCCTCAAAGAAACTGCTCCTGAATTGATTCCTAAATATGACTTAGGCAAAGGAACGGAACAACTTCAGGCAAAGATTGGGCATGACTTCTGGCTGAGGTCATGATTTACTAATTTTTGCTGTCACAGCTCAGCACCATATTTGGCATAAGGTTTGTCTTGAATTTGATCTTTTAATGAGCAATCTGGAAGAATGTTAGGGTGAGAATATATTATATTAGAGGATTCTTCAGGTCAAGAAGGGAAAGCAGTGCAGATGACATTTGGCATAGGATACAGATTTTAAAAGACCTCAAGCATCATATAAAAATTTGAATTTTTAGTGCAAAGAAATAGTAAAGCCCTCTAGGTAATTTAGTTTAGAGAATAGCTTAAGCAAATCAGCATTTTGAAGGATAAATGTGGCAGCACTGTGAAGAACATGGAGCTAAGAGACAACTGCACTAATTTCTCCCAGAAATATTGAGCACCTAAAACTGGAGCTGGGTAATAGAGATGGAGAGGGAGGAACAACACTGACCTGTGCATTCAAATTACTTATAACAGAGACAAAATTAAGTCTATAACTATCCACAGAATTTTCTTGTCTCCATCACAAATTGGGAAAATGGCAATGGAAGGAAGTCAGGATATAGAGAAAAATATAATTAAATGGCACTATCATTCATTCTGTTGTTCACATAGCCCGTGAGTTGTTCTTGAACTACTCCTGAGAAAACACATATTCATTCATGTATTGAATGGGCACTTGCCTCTTTGAACCAAGAATTTTTCCAGCCATTAAAGTACAAGACAAGGTTTGATCTAGCTTTGCTTCAATATGCCAGTCTCATTTCTCAATTTCTCCACATCCTGGCTGTCAGCACACACACATCCTCTTCTCTCAGCTTCTCTCCTCATCTGATGAAGTCTTACTCATGTTCTATGAAAAGCTACTTCCTCTCATGGGATTTCCTAAGGCCTCCAACGTCGCTAGGGCCCCAGGACCTGCTCTTGCACTGCCGCTGCCTGATGCTTCCTCCACAAGGATGTCTCACTGCATGGTGCTGACATCATGTGGCTCCTTGGTCGGTGAGTTCCTGAGGACAGGTACCAACCATCTGACTTTACTGCCCAACCAACCAGACACTTAGTTGTTTTGTAAGCAAGTAGTGAAGTAAAAAATTAAATTCTTCAACATGGCATTGGCATTATTTTATCCGACTTAAAATTGTACCCTGAGGAAGTCAACCGATGAATATAGTATGTTTAAATTTTACTTTATTAGTATATATTTGAGATACAAACAGTTACTTTGAAGTTGAGGAACTGGTATATACACAAATAGCATCTTCATCATATCTCTTCTCTTCCCTTCACTGTTCTCCCATTTCTCCCCTGTCCCAGACCCCTTCCCAGCTCCCTAAAATCCAGGGTTTAAGTTAGCGCTGTAGGACAAGAAGTTCAAGGCCATTACACATGAACATTCTGTATTTCTAGCTTTTAGTTCTAGATGGAAAAAAACATGAACTACATATGGTTAGCTAAACTCATTTCAAAAACTCTTGGCTGGTTCTCAAACTATATTCAAAGCTTATGTCAGTTTTGAAGACACAAATAAAATGCATTTTGCAGAACTTCCCCTTCTTTGGTTGAATTTTTGTAGAAGATTTCCCAAGATGTGAACTTCTGTAAACTGTATTCTCAACTGATTTTGATCATCATGATCTGAGTTATTTTCCATATACCCGCTCTTCTATGAAGCATGACACTTCAGGAAGTTGGGAAATCTTATTTATGTATAAATATAAAAAGCACTTTAATTTTAGATGTTTTAAAGGACTATAGATAATAACATATGCTAATTTCTAACACACTTCTTAGGTTTAAAGTAAAAGTAAGTCTTTTAAAGATGTTCCATAGAAATTTATTTTGGCTTTAATAAGCATCATATTTTAGTGCTGCCTCCTTAGTAACTCAGAAGTGAATAAAATGAACTTTGAAACACACACACACACACACACACACATGCTCCCTACTCTAACCTCCTCACTTGACTATTATTATGATTAAACATAAAATTAATGGGCAATGATAATGACCTCAAACTCTTGCCACAAGCAATTTGTGATAAATAATGGTATGCTTGTTTTTCAAGCAATGCTCTCTAGTCATCACGATCTTAAGCTCTAACTTCCATCAAAATCTTGAAATTTCATAGAGTTTGATAGAAAGAGCTATAAAACTTACTCGATAGATTTGCCCAACTCTATATTATCCACAACTGACAATTATTGCAGAAAGAATAAATTATTAATTTTTGTTCCCTTTGTTCACTCCCCCTCCCATCATTCCTATTTGAATTTGGAAGTATATTGTATGACAATTGCTGTTAAAGCTCACCTACAAAAATAAGCAAAATGCATTTATATTGATAGGATATGTTTTTTTTTCATGTTGTTTTAGGTGAGCGTTTGTCATTAAAATGACCCTTTTACAGCTTAGGACTGAAAGACAAAAATTGACGTAGAGTTATAGGGCAAGTCGGAAAAGCAGGGGAGATAAATAATATTTGTGTAACGTCTTATCTTAGCCCACTCAGGATGCTAAAACAAAATACCTTCGACTCAGTGACCTACAAACAATAGATATTTATTCTTCACAGTTCTGGAGTCTGAGAAGTTCAAGGAGATGTCTCTGTAGATTCAGTGTTTGCTAACTCAGGATGTCTATAGAGGGCCTTCAAGATGGGTGTTCACACAGCAGAAGGGGTAGGGGAGCTCTCTGGGGATCGCTAACAAGGGAAGCTCTCTGGGGATCTCTAACAAGGGGTAGGAGAGCTCTCTGGGGATCTCTTATGAAATCTCTGCTCCCATGCCTTAAAGTCCTCCAGATACCCCACCTCCAATACCATCAGGTTGGGTGTTAAATGCCAACCTATCAATTTTGTGGGGGACATAAACTTCGGTCTATGGCACTTCTACTTATATCAACCACCTTGCTAGGTGATTTTAAAATGTCTTACATCATTTTAATTTCTTATAACAGTCCTCAAAATTATTTTCCCATTAAAGATGAGTAATTAAGGATCAGAATGTATATGCTTCCTAAACAGAATTAGAAAGTTACCAAATGGTTGGTTACATGACTCTTATTCTTTTGAACATACTAAATATTGGGCAGAGTTGAAATCTTCTTGCAAGGAGAAGCAACATGTTTGATGTTTAATAATATTAATTTTAAAGATAGCATCTGGAGCTAATGGAAATTGAAATTCTTCTCTTAAGGATAGGTCTCCCCATTAATGTTTAATTTTGTTTTTCTATAGCAGTTTACCCAAACAGTTAATAAAAAGGTATCTAAAAATCTCATTTTAACACTTGACCTTAATATTCAAGAAACATCAAAAACATTCAGACACAGAAAATTGATGTCTGAAAAAAGAATCTAAGAGAGTTAAGATATAAGGAGCATAAAAGTAGAAAAAAGGCATCATAGAAGTTATGAAGTGGTGAAAACGAATGTTTGAGCCTAAGGCAAAAAATACAGAGATTATGGCTTTGAATGAGCAAGTGAGGCTCAGGAAAGACATTAAGGGTAATGGTGAGTGAACAATTTAGAAGAAAATATGAATACAGTTTAATTTTACAGCAGCCATGTTTCCACATCAAAGTGTACTGCATGATTAAAAATATGAGGTGAATATACAAGGCAGTAAATTATTTCTATTTACAGTGTTAAAATAGAAAAATATTTTCAAACAATGAGTAAGTGGAATGAATTCATTTCCTGTTCTGTGTCATTCTCAGTCCTTCCGTGATACCTGCTATCTTTTAGCTAATAACTTGCATTTAGTAACTGCTGTCTACAGAGCACCATACAGATTCATTTGGGACATTTTCCAATACAAATTGTAGAAAACCAAACTATAATCATCTCCAATACAATGGAATTTAGAAGCTGACATATCTGAAGAGCCCTGGGATTGACTAGCTGCAGACATAACTACATCCAGGTCTTCTACATTTCCACAAGACGTGTTCCCACTAAGTTCCTTTTGTAGTGGTAAGAAGGATGAAGTAGGTTTGGGCCCTAGTCCACTGCAGTTTCCACTCAGCGATTGGGGTTCACTCTAATCAATCCAATTCAAGGCTTTTGGCCGCTCCTAAAATAGTCATGGAGTCCAGGGGATCTAGCATCTAATCCCCAGGTCTGAAGACCATGGTGGCTGAGGGGAAGAAAGTTGGTTTCTTCATAGCAATCTCCATTGCCAGAAGGCAGAATGAATTCCTGAGAAGCAAAAAAAAAATAGGATAGGTCCAAAAAATTCTCTAAGTTCTCTGTCAATCTCCAAAGTAGATTTACTTCCTTTTATCATTTTTCCTTTATAAAACAAATATGTGCTAGTGACTACGGTGGTGAGCAGGAAGACAGAAGATGTGCTCTTCTGAAAGTAGAAGTGAGTGAAGGGGACAGCCACCATGCTCAATGCCTACTATGACTTTGGTGTATGTATATGATGAGTGGTATGCCAAGCTCCATCTACACGAAATGGAGGCAGGTGTAATTAATTATGCCTTTCCCTTCAAAGTCTGACTTTTAGTTGTTGGATAATTCCAGTTCAAGTTGAAAAGTTGGGACACACTACTCTCTTGGCTCTTTCTAAGCCTAGTTTTCCTTAGAACAGACCAGTTTAGCTGGATGTGACAATTAGAAGACAACAGGGTTCTGCAACAAGTATCCTTCTGACTGGGGGGTGCAGAAAAGATTCTGAGTGGGCAGCCAGGGTCAGTATTTGGCCTGTGCATGTGAAGGGAAGACTATAGGGCAGTGGAATCAAACATAGAATTTCTAACTCATGCTTTTAAATAGCAAAGCCAAAGTGCTGATTTCTTTCTACTCATTCATGGTGAAATGTCTAACACAAAAGATTCAAATATATAACAGATACCGCCGGTCAATTTGAGCACAGGCAAATTTCGTTCTCTGTTTGAGAGCTGTAACTTCTAGTTCCCTTTCAAATGTTCTCCCTTTACTTTATGGTTGAACCTGTCTTTTCTCTAAGACCAGATCAATGCACCTTCTTGAAAAATCAACAGAAAAAAATCCAGGTGTTTAGGATTTCACAAAGGTCGAAATATAATTGGAGATGGATTTTTTAGCTTAACTCTACAGAATCACTGCAAAAGCAAATAATCAAGCCAGGATAGTCCTACATATCCCTTCAGTTTGTCTCCCAACTTCTGAAATGGACTTGAAAGGAGGTACATGTGCATATACACACACACACACACACACACACACAGAACTCAGAGAGAGAGAGAGAGAGAGAGAGACTGAGTCTAGGATTTTTTTTTCCAGTGGTTCCCAAAGACAACTCTACTACAAAATATTGGCATGTTTCCTTCAAAATCGAATGAAGAAGTAATGACACTCATTTTCAAAGATGACCTCTCACCTCAGTAACTCATCCTTCTCAAAGGTATTTTTTTGTTTTTGTTCAGTTATTTTTTTCTGAAAAGAAGTTGACAGGAGAGATTAATACTGGTGTGTTTTCAAGAGAATATGACAAGTGAGCATTGCTGTTGAACAGCATTTTCCAAGGACTTTCAGAGCTCTTGTTTTATATCTCTTTAACCTAAATACTTATCACTGAGTTCTTTGAAAAAGTGAAGCAAATATTGAAGAAAATTAGCAGGAAGGTTTATTCATCTAGAGTGTATCGATACTTTGAGCTAAATATGAGCCATTGTTTTGCCTTTTGTGTGTAATGTTTTTAAGGCTATGTGGTATCATACATCCTGCTTTACAGACATGGACAATGTAAGGAACGATTCTATAAACAAAGTCACAAGGCTTAAACGTAGAAATTTTGAAGTAAATCAAACTGGACTAATACAATTATTTAACAGATAAGGAGATGAAATCTAGGGATTCAGTTGCTACTGTTATTCAACTGCTAAGTATGGATCTGGGGATACAGCCTATAACATGTGATCCCAGTGCACATAGGTCTCGTCCTATCTGTTAGCCAATAATTTGTTTGGAGGAGAAGTTTACCAACACTTTATCAGTTAGTTCTGAAAAAATGCAACCCACTCCCTTGATTCAAGCAATACTTTATTTGCCATGTTTTATAATAGAAAACTAACCAGCAGGCAATGAGATTTTTGGAGCATTACTTTCATTGTGTGAAAAGAAGCATGCTTGTTTAAATTCAGGATTACGAAACTTGTTTTTATTTTTATAATATGAGATGTGTCAGGCTTAATCTATCTGGAGCGTTAGTCTTTTTGCAAAGATTGCTTTCTTCAGCCCACATAATTTTCACTTGAAGCCAACTCGCCTATAGTACAGTTGTTTTCTTATTCCCTAAGCACCATCTAAATGCCTAATTTGCAGTAGCAGAATTACCTGTTTAGCATTTCTTCTTTCTGGGGACTTGCGTGTGTTTGTAGGCTTTGTCTTCTTTCTTCTGTGGTTTCTGGTGTCACCGGTTGTAAGTTTGTCAAATATGTCAGTTGAGGTCCCCCAGAAAGCAGAAACCAAATGGAGGTGAGAAGATGAGACATTTGCTAAGGGGGATGCCCATGAAAGAAAATAAGGAAAGAGCAGGAATGGGTCAGACAAGCATCTGGTCACAGTGCAGGTCTAACACCTGTGAAAGGAGAAGGGGAAAGAAAAGTGCTTGGAAAGAAAGAGCTTCAGACTGTGGTATAGGAGTGGGAAAGTCTCTACCAGCTCATTATGGGAACCTAGATGCAGGGTGCACCCCACTGCATAGAAGTAGCAGGTCTACAGCATCATCCATTGGCTGGGAGCTTTCTAGGAATAACACAGATCTTGACCAAAAGGCTGCAGTAGGCTTGAAGACTGTAGCTGGCTGCTCTGAGCTAACTGCTATCCAGAGAATGTTCTCTCTCAAGGGAGAATGGAGCTACACACCTCTCTGGTTACCACAGCTCAGCCTTAGATGCAGCTGGAGTCTTACTGTGGGCCTGGGGACCAGCTGTTTCTTGGATCTCATCTGACTCTTCCTGAGGGAAACTTACAAGGGCATAGTTAGTGTGACAAGCTGTGGTCCTCATCATGGCAGTTTATTTGGGGCTGCAACTGTTATGCAACATGTCTTTCCTCTACCTTTTTAAATTAACTTCCTCTTCATTAACACCACTGCTCACTGCAGTAGCTTACTTGGTGGTTGGACTAATCCCTCTTTTGTGAGAAATGGGCACCCCTGGTAACTACAGCCTTCTTGGGCCAAGGTGGCTGTATACAATCTTTCAGTGTCACAAGAATGAAAGTATTAGGAGGTACACAAGAGAATTGCATTGGGTCCACACACATTTTCTCTGTTTTGTAAAAGTAGCCTGATCTCTTCCTGCTGATTAGAATCAATGGTCTCTTCCACCATAGTGAGTCCTCTTCTTGTCTGCTGTTCTTTGTACAAATGGGGTTTCAAAATTTCTGAGCAGCAGCTCTGTGTTGTTATTCCATTTCTGTGTCTCCTAGATTCTGGAACAAGAACCAGCATCTTCATTCCTGATGAGCCCAGAATGTTAAGGCTGGTGTCTCTGCCCATTTTCTGAGGCTATACCACAGACTGGGTGATTTATAATCGATAGACTTTTATTTGGCATCCTGTTATAGAGGCTAGAAAGTCCCATACCAAATGGCTGAATATGTTGTGATTTGCCTCATGAGAACATGGTAGCAGGTATCTATGACATTGGAGAGCAAGAGACTGAGCTCACAGCCTCAAACTCTTTAATAATCAGTATCAATCCATTCACAAGGGTGGCACCCTCTTGACCTAGGCACTACCCATTAGGCCCTACATCCCAAAATTGTCACAACTGGGGATTAAGTTTCCAACATGTGCATTTGGGGGATATATTCAAACCATGGCAAACTAGAAACACAAATTTCCCTAGTGGGTCATTGATTGTCTTGTCAGCTATCTTCATTCTTTATGGCAACTTCTTTCTGGAAGAGAGATCATAGTCATATACCATCACAGAGGCCACAACAGGAAAAGGAGCATATGTACCAACATACTATCAGATCTCCCCCAAAACTTTCTTGTTGGGGGATAACATATCCTACCCATTGACCTCAAGCTTGGCTATAAGACTGGTTTTAGTTAGTAGAATGAGAATGAAAGATTACACATTCATATTTGAGCAGCAACCTTATGGGACATTGTGTAGTTCAGTGTGTTTTTCTTACCTTTTCAAGTCAATAGCATATCCTAAGTGGGGCCTGTTATAGTTTATGTCTAGATATCCCCCCCAAAGCCTCTTGTACACATAAATGGAGCTTTGGGGAGGTGACTGGACCATGGAAACATGATAATCAAAACCGCTACCGAGTTTATAGCTGAGTTTGTTGTTAGGAGGTGGGATCTGATCAAAAGACATTGGTCACTGGGGGTGTGGCCTGGAAGGGTATATATCCTCCTGCTCTTCCTTCCACTCTATCTCTGCTTCCTGTCTGCCATTCCATAAGCAACTTTTCTCTGCCATGTCCCTGTTCAAGTTTCCCTGTTCAGAGCCACTTGACTATGGACTGAAATCTCTACAAACTGTGAGCCAAATAAACCTTTCTTTCTTTTATTTGTGGGCACCAAGTATTGTGTCTCAGTGATAAGAAAATAACTGCGACAGATTTTGGCACCAGAGAGATGAGGACATTGCAGTGAGGCTATCTGACCATATGTCTTAGATGCCTTTGGAACTGGTTTCAGCAAGGAGTTTGGAAATATTTGGAGATGGCTGCTGGAAAACCAGTCCTACAATGCTATCAGCTGAAACTAAGGAGAGATTCTGGTTGGAGCTCAGAAGACCAAAATGCTGATAGAAATTCAGACAGAAAAGTTCAGTCTCGGGAGGTTTCTGTTAGGAACAAGAATTGCTTTGGCAGTTGGGCTCCAGATCATATGTGTTATGCTCTGGCAGAAATTTTGTCTACATTTTGCTCTTGTCCTGAGACTTTGAGGGAGACTGAGATTAATTGTAGAGGACTAGTTAATCTGACAAAGGAAATTTCAAGGCAGCCAAACATTCAGGCTGTGGCTTGGGTACTGTTGTATGCATTTAGCAAAGCCCACATTGAGAATCACGAGCTAAGGGCTGAGCTGAATGATTTAAAAAGTTTTGAGTTTGGCCAGAAAATAAGCTGCAGTAAAGTTGGAACCTGCAAAAATGGAGCAGAAGAGAGCCTGGTTACTAAAAAGATTAGCAATGAAACAAAGCTGAGTACCTTGCAACAGGGCAATAAAAAAGATGGCTTGAAGGCAATACAGAAACCAGCAGGACCCCACTCTTCACAGGCTCAACATTACAAAAGTGAAAGACTTTTTTTTGAGGAGATAGCCCCAGGGAACCCTGCTGGACAAGGAGAATGGCAGCCTAGGACCTTTATTCCTCGGGATTTAATTCTCAGTGCTCAGCCATCCAGGCACTCAGAGGTCAGTGCAGCCATGTTTCAAAGAGGCCTGGCTACTGTTCGAACTGGCAGCAGACTTTGGCCTTATCCATATGGTGCTGGTTTATCAGACTTGCAGAATGCAAGAATCGTGGAGTCAGAGGAGCTTCCACCCAGATTTCAGAAGAAGAAATGGGAAACCAAGCAGTGTGTCCCTGAGTGTGCAGTGCACGAAGCTGTGAGTGTGAACCCCACAGTGCAGTGGAGACCCCAGAAAGTTGGAGAAGCCGGAAATGTGGAACATCTAAGGAAAGCCACAAGCAGTGAACAAAGCCAGTTCAACAGAGAAGCTATGAAGGTTACAACCACTGGCAATGCCGCCAACCAAGGCTTCTGGAGTCCACATGTTGCAACAATTTGCCCCAGGTGCTACACACGGAGCTATGGGAATTAATGTTTGCCCAGCTGGGTTTCGGTCTTGCTTTGGTTTCATTGGTTTCTATTCCCCTGTTTTCCCATTTTGAATGGAAATGTCTATCCTATGCCATTGCATGTTGTCAGTGTGTAACTTTTTAATTTTTTTTATAGGGGCTCGCAGCTAAGAGTCTGCCTTGTGTCTCAGGGAAAGTTTTGTACTTGAACTTTTCAGCAGTGCTAAGCCTGTTAAGACTTTAACAACTCTTAGAGATGGATGAATGCATTTTGCATAAATGGATATCCATGAGTCCTTTGGGGGCTGGGATAGATTTTTATGGATTGTATCTAGATGTCCCGCCAAAAGCCTCAGGCACTCATAGGTGGGGCTTTTGGTGATTGGACACATGGCAATCATCATTGGATTAGTCCTCTAGTGACTTTATAACTGAGTTACTGTTAGAAGGTGGGATCTGGTAATAAGACATGGGTCACTGGGGGGTGTGGGCTGGAAGGGTTTATCTCTTCCCTGTTCTTCCCTTTACTCCATCTCTGCCTCCTGCCTGCCATTCTCTAAAGAACTCACCTCTGCCAGGTGGCTGTGCTATGATGTCCTGCCTCAGAGCCATCTGACTATAGGCTGAAACCTCTGCGTACAGTGAGCTAAGCTGACCCTTTCCTCCTTTAAGGTGTGCCTCAGTGATGAGAAAGTAGCTAAGACAGGGCTGGATGGTAGAATGAAAATAGCATGGGGAGCAGACACAGCTCATGAACATCTGGTTCCAGTGACACATGCAGGAAACCTGCGTTGTGAACGATAGGGACTGGAGAATGTTCGTTACTGCAGGATAACCCAGAAACATCTGACCAGTGTGTCACACATTTCCTTATCTATGGCATTTCCTTTGGTACTTGTAGCTTCTGACTGTTTCTAACAGATGTTGGTGAGTAATGGGTATTGTTCTTAATGTTTCTGAGGGGTTCTGGCCTGGCTACATCAGAAACAAGGATGTACTTTTAAAAACACAAACTCACTGGCTACAATTGGGGAAATTCTGATTCCATAGATAAGACTCAATTGTTGCCCTTACTATGGAGTCCAGAAATCTGCATACTTAGAAATTTCACAAGTATTTTCGTGAGTTCAGAAATTGGTCATGGGTTTCAGTTTGCTTTGGAATAATCATCTTTCTCGGTCTTCTGAACCTGCATCGTCATCACCTTTATAACCTTGACCTGACCATTGGTTTTGTGTGTCTTATTCAATCTTAGCTCCATTGCTTCATCTTGCATTTACAACCTGGCCAAATGAAACTTGCAACCTGTAACTGCTCTTGTTCAATTGTGTGGTGGCCAAATGTGTGGCCAAAAGTGCACATTGAATTGTTCTTGGAAGAAGCTTGTGTGTGTGTGCATGTGTATGCATGTGTATGCATGTGTGTGTGTGTGTGTGTGTGTGTGTTTGTGTGTGTTAAAGCACATTTATGAACAGAAACAGGTAAATGATTTTGGGCTGAGCAAAAGATAATTCCAAAACAATGCAGCTAATTATCTCCCTAGGAAAAGGTACAGGCCCTATGTAGGTCAAAAGTACCAGGCAAATCGCTGAAACAATTATTTCTTTTTACTCTCTCATAAATGCCCCTGTGCATTGACTCATGCATAAACCTCCCCAGGTGGCTGTTACTGAGAATGGGAAGATTGTCCAAATAAATCTTTAAAACACCTTCTGTTCAGTGATACAAAAAAAAAAATAAAGGAAAGACATGAGGATGAAAAATAATCTAAGGCAGATTTAGATAAAATCAAATACCTCATGTTCTGGGACTAGACCCTGGCCACAATCGTCACAAATGTAAGATAAAGCTTCCCATACCATGAAGACTGCCCTCCCTCCACACTCTGTTGTCCTGTAAGTTCTTAATGAGTTTCTACTAAGCCACTCGGAGTAAGCTTCTCATATATGTCTGGACTGATGTTCTTGAAATAAACCCAGAAAGTAATAGGCATCGAAATACCGCACAGAGTTGGGATGCTGGCTGCCGTGCTGTGACAACTCCCGCTTACCTAGCACTTCGATGTCCTTCCTGCTTGTGGGCATCTATGACTCAGAACTTGCACTGAACTCACAGCCACTGTCCTTGCAAAGGTGCACTTAGTGTTTGAACAACAACTGAAAATATTCAGGCAAAAGATGATATATAGTTTTGAATCCGGGGCATGTTATCATTGGAATTAAATGGCTCAATCAGAGACTTATGCCCTTGTGGAGTCCTTTCTGGCTTTATGCACGATGGACATATAATTGTCCTGGGCCTCCAGCTCATTTCCTGTTATTGTTCCTCCTGGGATATTAAACTTGTGACAAAGGTCACAATGCTATGAAATTACAAAATAAAGCAAATTACAATTCTCACTTCGAATTTCATCACATTATGAAGGCATAGCTCGCCAAAGTTAAGGTTAAAAAATACCTAAACTTATGTAGAGATGTAGACTCAGCAAACTTCTAAAATTCATCTAAAACTTATGTAGAGATGTAGACTCAGCAAACTTCCAAAATTCATGTACTCAAAGATGCTTTTTATTATTCATATGTAAGAAATATCTAAGAAAGTCAGTTAAATATCTTTTAGTGATATTTCTTTTCATTTTTCCTGCATGGGTAAATGATCTCCACAGATATAGAAAATTCTAGAGAAATCTCCCTTCTAAAATTTTATGTTCACATGTAAGTCCTTTCCTTCACAAAAGCATCACCATTACTTAATAGCACTGAACAAGGTCCAAGAACAATTTTTTGTATGACCAGTTGAACAAACTTAAGAACTTTAAGTTTGGAAACTTTGTAGATCCTAATGAAAAGATTACAGCCTTCTCAGATCAGTTAGTCTTTGAAATATACCTTTTTACTAAATGTTGCTATGTATTTGTATTTTATTGTGGGAGTCCTGCTTGCTAAGAGCATTGATATTTTTCCTTTTTTTCTTTTTTTTTTTTGTAGTAACTAAATCTCTATTGCAACTGAAAGTTTCTGGAGAACAGAAAGGTTGACAGTTCCTTCACCACCAACTTAAAAATATATTTATCTTCCTTATTCTTTCCTTTCCCTTCTTTCCCTCCTTGCCTGATTTCCTTCCTTTCCTTCTTTCTTTTTTTCCTTCTTTCCTTCCTTTTCCCCCTCTCTTCACACCCCTCCCCTCTGTCTTTGTCTCTTTAATTTTATTATTATTTTTCTTAGCCATACTGTGGATGGAACTCAGGGCTTCAGTTTGCAACCCTGCCTTAGCAGCATTATAGGCATGCAACACCACACATTGCTTGTGTTTTTCTCTTTCTTCCTCTCTTTCTGGTGTTCGGAAACAGAACCTGTGTTATTTAATTTTCTCAATATAATAAGCAGGTAAAATAAAGATGATTTTGATGAAAAATCAAAAAGAAGAGTCTAAGTTCTGGACACTCAGACTCAGTCACGTATCAAAATTACTCTAGGAATCATTGTCACTGAATCCTTGTTTATTGTTTAAACTACTAATATTGTTTGCCTCAAGTAAAAAAAAAAAAGGATCGAAGATAAAGTGTGCTGTGCAGGATCATTCCCCTTTTGGATTTTCAGTACATCTGGATCTCAAGATAGCTGGAAATACCAGTTAAGATTCCTAATGATAATCAAATTGTGTTTGCTTTACTTCCATACTCTAACACAGAATGATAGAACGTTTTCATGCTACTTAAAATTGTTTTAAGAGGCAGCCCTTCGTAAAACCCGAGTTTCTTCAGCTCAAAGTTAGAATTTGAAAGTTCACCTATGTCACACAAGCTGGCGCCTATGTTCTTATGCAGACGGGCTGGTTTTCTCTTCACGGATTTTGGTCTGCTTTCTTTTACAGCATAGGTGGAGAAGTAGGACGAGGCCACGACGCGAGCTACGTGGGCAAGCATTTCCGCATGGGATTCATGACGATGCCCGCTCCTCAGGACAGGCTTCCCCATCCCTGCTCCCCTGGGTTCACCGTGAGGTCCCAGTCCCTGCACTCTGTCGGGGGCACCGAGGATGACACCACTTGCTCCCGGAGACAGCCACCACCCAAGCCCAAGCGGGACCCGAGCACCAAGCTGAGCACCTCCTCTGAGACAGTCAACAGTAGCACTGCCAGTAAGGGCGGGAAGCCCCCGGAGAGGACGGAAGGTAACGCTCACCTGCCCGCTGCACCTGGGAGTCTCAGGCAGCACCGCGGGTCACCACACTAACCACCTATGCCTTCCTCACAGGGCCACATAATCCTGCCTCCCTCACCCTGAAGTCCCAGAAAAGAAATACCAAGGGGGAAAGTTGTTTATTGATGTGTTTTCAAATGACACCCAGAAGCACCCAGAAGGATGTACTTAATTTGTGTAATAAGAAAGAGAAGGCAATATGTGAGTTTTTTTTTTACCCCCTTTAAGCTTTGAATCATTCAAAAACTATTTTGCCCAGAAATATTTCTAGAATTTATATTTTCTTGCTTTTATTAATATGATTTGCATAATTCAAAGAAGCATTATGTGATTATGAGGGGAATGTTTAATGCAGGAATTTATAAAGAAAACAACTTGTGATCACATCTTCTAGAAATGATGCTTTTAACATTGTTTCTTTCCAGTAAATATAAATGGATGCATGTGTGTATTCTATATATTTCCTACTCCACTTTCTATCTCTCATTTCTGACTTTACCTCAGCTTTGAAATGCACAAATCAGGAATATTCCACTTTCCTCACTGATCTCTGAATATAAATATATAAATTAGGTGCAGTTACTCCTAGTCTCATCCGTTCTTTAACCTTTAACTGAGTCAGTAAGATCACAGCTTTCCTGGGAGCTGCTTGGTGTGAGGGTAGTCTTAAGTAGGCTTTGATACAAGCTATTTTAGTCAGGTCAGGTTGCTATAACACATTGCTATAGACTGGGTAGTTTATAATGAACAGCAGTGTATTTCTTAGGGTTCAGAAGGCTGGAACAATCAAGGAGCCAGGATGGTCTTCTGGTTAGTGTTCCCTTCCAGGTTGCAGACCACTGACTCCTTGTACTCCCCAAGTCCTCACCTCTAAATATCATCACAGAGAGACTGTGAGTTCAGCATTTTAAATTTGACAGTCACAAGTATTCACACCCTGGTGTGAGGTTGTCCAGATTTTTCCATATCTGTTGTGATAAACACCTCAGTGTTCCCAATACTGCCAGTGGCCAGTTTGCCAAGAGAGTTGCATCAGGTCCCGAGTTTCTCCCATCTTGCCCCATTCTGGCCTTTTCCACAGCAGGCTTCTGTGAGCCCTCAAAGTACCCAGTTTCCACGCAGGATTGTAGCAGAGAGTGGAGACGACAAGGTCCTCTCCTCAACTGGTTAGAACTCTTTGCCACTGGGACTACTTGTTCCTCATGAAGTCTCCCTCAACTTCTGGCCTTATGCTTTCCACAGAAGCTCAAATGCAGTCCACGAGGCAAAGTACCCACGTGGTACACCCCATCTCTCCCTTTACCCTCAACTTTCTTTCTCCCTTCTAGTGCCCCAGTGCCTTTAGCCAAAAGATTATAGTTTCAGTACATTACTAAACAATGTGAATAAATGTCTTGTGATGAAGCTAATTTATCAAATCTACAAGGGCAAACCTTCTTAGTTTTTCCTATTATATATATATGCAAAAATGCATCATATTATATATATATGTACAAATATGTATGTGAGAGAACACATGTGAATAACTTACAAGTGTATGTTTATTTGAAAAGTTGAAATCATAGCGCATAGTTTCCTGTTTTGGATGTTCACTTACTTTATTGTGACTATTTCTGCTGGCATGCAATTTGTCAGGAAACACTATTTTTATGGAGGGAAGCATACATGACAGTAGTTTATTACCTTATTGATGACACATTGGTTACAGTTTGTGTAGCTACAAGGAATAGTACTATGGTTAACATTTAAGCATATGGGGTGAGGTTATTAGAAACTGGATTTTTTCCCATAAGTCAGTTTTATCAGTATATTCTTCAACTTGTAATGACTTAACATCCAATACATCAATGCACCCATGCCTTTAGAAGCAACGTAGATATTTAGTTTACTTATTAATATAGCAAAGGGCTCCAGAGACATAAATGTAAATTTCGAACATTGTTCTCAGGTTTTCTTTAATATTCTTACCTGGTGTCTTTCATTTGTCTGGATTTTGTGTGATCTTGTGTCCAGAAGTCAGACTTATCCTTTTTCTACTGCCAGAAAACTCTATAATCAATTATATTAGTTTGTTTTCAAAATAAGGTTACTGATGTAGGAAAGTGATCTCCGAAGGCAATCTAGAATGATTGAGGAATAAAGGGAAATCAACAAGCTCCCACAGGGAGAGAAGTAAGGTAGACAAGGTATGTGTTAGAAGGCAGTGTCATGATGCCAAGAACCTTCCTGACAGGAATGTGAAGTACACACCTCAGACTAGCCCCCTCCAGGGAAGCATTACTGGGAAATTAGACTCAAAGAATGGAAAAAATCATCATTACTGCCTTATAGAAGAAACATACGAGTGATGTCTAAAAAATACAGCAGATTACCATCCATTTGAGATCCTTCAGGTGGCTAGGTCCAGCAGGTCATAATTTTTTTCTAAGATCCTTCACCATTGAAGGATCAAGGTTTCCCAAACCCTGGTTATCCAACAGTGGAGGGCAGTTATATAGTCTTCACTTCTTCCTAAAGCACAAGAGGAGAAACTGACTTAGTTACAGTAACACAGATGTAACTTAAACTTGTAAAATTACTCAATGGACAGTGAGCCCCATGGAACACTAGGTGCAAATCACATATTTCAACTCTAAAAGAAGCTCTCAGGACCACCCGGGAAGTCCTCCACTGTGGTGGCTGATGGAGAGTCTTGAGGAAACTGGATGAGTTATTAGCAGCCTGTGCAGAAATGGTTGACTTCTGTAAAAAAGTGCTTTGATTTTCTATGCAAATTTTGCTTTCTCCTCAGAACAGTTAAGAATAAAGGCAGTTGCAAAACTAGCTATATTCAAATCTCTTCTAACATCGTATGACCTCAATAATAATGGGATAAGTCAGGGCTCAGTTCAGACATGGGAAAAGTCTTGAATCCAAATGCATGTGTATGTGTATACTTGAAGCCAAAATTATATAAATATGTAGTTGCTCTTTTATGAATTCTCAGTTCTTCATAATTACCAGCTAACTGGAGTTCATTATAGAACATATGTTTTCTTTACAATTTTCTAAGCTATCAACATTATAACACAGATAAAAAGTGACTTTTAAAAACCTTAGCTTGCCTTTTCTTTTTGCATTAAATGTCAGCAAAATCAAAATATTGATTCAGTGGCATTATAATGGTTTCCATGGTAACCAGATTCTATTTAAGCAGAGGATTATGACTTCCCTGTAGACGAAAGTAAAAAGAACTGGCCTTTCAGCAAAATGAATTTTAAGAGTAGAAAAAAGAAAGAAAGCAAAAGAAGAAGAAAGAAAGAATGCTGCCACATTAAAATAAAGATTTGTTGCTCTATTTTAGGAGGTTCTACAATAGTAACAACTTGCAAAAGTTTATAGAGTGGAGAACATAAATTAGCACTGAGTATACTATAAATATTTTAATTAACCTTAGTGTGGTGCCCAGTTCTTTTGAGGAAAGATCAGGTGAAATGAAAGGAGTTAACTAGAAAGAATAATAAGCCTAATAAGCAATACGAGCTAGCTTTATCTTGTATGTCTTGTATGTGATCCAGCAAAAGTGGCCATACAATTTCCCATCAGTTATCCCCAGTCCCTAGGTAAATATATACTCCAGTCCTCAGGAACTGTGTTGATAGAGATGCTAGACCCTGGGTGCAAAAGGGGCTGTACTTAGAGTCGAGGCAAACATTTGCTGTAGGCAAGTGACTCAGTGAGATGGAATTGATAGTGTCCTGCCTTCCTCATACTCTTATGTCAGTCCAGTGGGCTAATTCCGGTGAGGTGCATACTAAAAAGAAATTGCTGCACAAATGGAAGTTGGTACAATGTGTAATGTGTAATCGCCATCTATTAATATTCCTGAATAAAATGAAGTTCTGGTTTGATGCCACACATATATTGAAAACAAATAGAGAAGGAAAAGAAAAGATAAATTCATCCATCCTACATATGTGAGCCTTAAAATTTAACACACAGATATCATCAAAAACATGCAAAATAAGAAGTCCTGGCAAGGATGTGGAGGAAAGGAAATCCTTGCACACTTTTGGTAGAGAGTGTAAATTGATGGACCCATTAGGGCAAAAGGTATGAGATTGCTCAAAAATAATTAAAAATAGTACCTCCATATGATCCAGCAATCCACTAGTGAGTATATATCCAAAGGAAATAATCCCAGCATGTTAGAGCATTATGTTTGTGACAGCACTGTTCACAATAACTGAGATATGGAATAAACCCAAGGGTCCATCAACTGATGAATGGAGAAAGGAAATGTGGTGATGTATACACAATGGAATATTTTCAGTGATAAAAACGAATTTGCAGCGACATGGATAAACGTGGGAGGCTTTGTGTTAAGTGAAATAAGGCAGGTGCAGAAAGTCAGACACCGTATAACTCCACTGTTATGTGGAATGGACCATCACTGAACTTGGAGAATGGTAGTTACCAATGGCTGGGGATTTGGGAGCTGTTACAGGTCATAGGACACAAAATTTCAGTAAGAGAGCAAGAGTAAGCTCAAGGGATCTATTGTATAACAGAGTAACTACAATTGATAAGTGTATAGTATTCTTGAAATCATTGAGAGATTAAAATCTCAAAAATGAGTGTGAGGTAATATATATTAATTACCTCAATTTAGCCATCCCACAATGTATACACATTTCAAATAATCATGATAAGTATGGTAAATATATATATATACACACACAATGTTTGACAATTAAAAGTTAATAAATGAGAAAAATGGCAAAACACCCAAATTTTACACAATGACACAAACAAGGAAATATTTATTCCGTGGGTAAATAATCTTTTAATAAGATATTGACATCAATAGTCCTCAGTTACAGTAAAATTTTAATAATATTAGGAAATTATATAACATTTAGGATGAGGAAGAAAATACATTTTTATTAAATTCAAGAATCTCTATACCTTAGAGTGTTTTTAAAAACCATA